CTCCCTCCTCCAAATTCTCTCATAAGGCCTAAAATGTCACCACAGAGGGTAATTTAGGTTATTAGCAAGCTAACACCACTAGGAAGATTAAGAGGAAGCTGTTGTTTAATGCTGTTTCCCTTGCTTCCTATCTTATCTAACCCACAAGAAGATATAGGGACCCCTACTTTATTATGGGTTTATCCAAATCTATCCAGCCTTTACAGCCCAGGCTAAGCCTAGCTTCTCAAACTCATTTATTTCTGGACCTCATGCTGAGTAGGTTGTTGACACAGACAATACCAATTGGGTAAGCATGTTTGTTTGGTGAGATACACATGACAGTATCTTCTTTCTCTGGTCACCAAATGCCTAGCCCCAGAATTCTTTCAGCCTTTGGAACTCTCTGCTAAAAATCAGACTAAAGAGCTATGTCAAATTAAACTGCATCTAAAATCCTAGGCCTTCAATGCTCTTCTATTAAAAGATGTTGATGACCAGATTTAGGTCTTCACCTTTCACTGTATTTAAGACTACAATGCTATTCATAAAGAACCTTAACAATTATGACAAAATATTTGACCTAGTAATTCACTATTGTGAGTAGTAACAGCACCTGAAAGTTCTTAAGTACTTACTGTATGCTAGGCACTGTGCTAGGCATTTCCTTAAAATACTCACTTAATCTCACAAAAAAACAAATACGGTCATTACTACTATTACTTGACAGATGAATAAAGGAAAGCTTGGAAACTAGTTAGGGTCACATACTCTAGTGACAGAGGTGGGACTCAACCTCAGATTAATTGAACTCCAGAGTCCCCTTTTTTTACTACCACCCAAACTAGAAATATATCCTTGGAAAAATGACCCCAAAATATAGCAACAACTTTAAGCATAGGAGGCTCAGTGCCATGCACATGGCAACTTGAAGCATTCTAAACACAGTTAAGAAAATGGAGGCAATTTGGATTACAAAATATTACATAGGCATTAAAATGTTTTTACATCTAACTTTTAGCGACTCATGAAGGAAATGTTATGCTATAAGTAGAAAAAGCAAAATACAAAACTTTACATTAGTCAAATCTCAACTATATAAAAATTGTCTGCACATGGAAAGACCTAAATTTACTGTTAAATTAAAAAAGACAAGTTGCAGAATAATATAGGACTTAGGCCAGTGTGGTTCAGTGGGTAGAGCATCAGCCCGTGCACTGAAGGTCAATGGGTTTGATTGTCGGTCAAGGGCACATACCTGGGTTGCAGGTTCAACCCCTGGCCTGATCAGGGCATATGCAGGAGGCAACCAATCAATGTGTCTCTCTCACATTAATGTTTCTCCCCACCCCACCCCCCACCCCGCCTCTTTCCCTCCCTTCCACTCTCTCTGAAAATCAATGGAAAAAATTATCCTTGGGTGAGGATTAACACACACTCAAAAAAAGGTAACAAATAGCTTCAGGGGGATAGAGTAGAGACATGTAGCACATGAATGGAAATTAGAAATATTTTTCAGCTGCTGTCTTTAGGTAAGAGTTTAGTTACATACACACACACACACACACACACACACACACGAGGCACTTATTTTGAATTGAAAATGGGCAACTCCAGATCTTAGTTCCTCAAGTTCTACAGGAGTCTCAATATTTGAATATATAAGTTGAAATGCAAAGTCCATGGCATCACACTGCATTTTGGCCTACTATGGCAAAGAACAAGTTGAAACATTAAAAAGACAGAAGATTTCCCCCTTCCCCTTCTCCTCAGGTATGTGCCACAAAATAACATACCTGCCAAAATAATAAAGGACATGAAAAGTACTAAAAACTAATTAGATAGAAATCAAAACAAAAAAACAACTATAACTTTGAAGAATTGTCTCTTTTTTCTGCACTGAATTGTACAGAATTACAAAACTATCACACAGACAGATAAGTCCTTACCTATATCTTGCCCCACCAGCCCATTACAGTACATGGCATGTCGCTCAATCTTTGTGGGTGGGAAGCCTTTGTCACATAGTGGGCAGGATACCTTGGTACTGGATGAGAAAGTAGAAGAAGGTATTTCCTTCTCAGCATCTTCCCTGTTACCAACCTAAAGAATATGACAAACAGCAATTGTAACAGCTTTACTTTATAAATAATTTTTCTTTGGGAGAACTGCAAAAACTCCATCCATACTTCACTTACTTTCAAAGACAATACCAATTAGTTTGCAAATTCAAGACTGAGGATTGAGAGATAACAGTCAATAGTTATTCAGTGCCTGCTCCCTATGTGCTAAGTACTCTGCATGTAATATTCATTTAATCCTCATAGTGATCTAACAAAGGTATTAACATACCCTTTTTACACATGAGATAAGCATTGTCCAAAATAGTAAAACAAATTGCCCAAAGTTAAGGAACAAATAAGTGGCAGAGCTAAAATTTAAACCAAGGACTATCTGGCTCAAAAAACTGAGGACATTCCTCTCTATCACGCTGCAAGGCACTGTTCTCCTGGGTCAGTATACTGTGTATGCAGTGTTTCAACAGTCTGTATACCAACAGCACCTTAAAGACACTTTTTCAATCTCACAAAAGAACTGTGATATTTTACATGAGACATATATAAGGAGTTAGAAAACAAAAGAACTCTAAGCAAAAGAAGCACAATTAAAATTTAAGAACCTAGGTCTCTGCTTACACCAATAAGACATACCACCTCTTGTGTTTTATGACTTTTGGACTGTTTTAATACAACTAAGACCCAATATTTAAGAAGGCCAAATAAAAGTCATTAAGACATTTCTGCTGAAGCCATTTTTTAAAATATGTTTTTTATTGATCTCAAAAGGAAGGGAGAGAGAAAGACAGAAACATCAATGATGAGAGAGAATCATCAATAGGCTTCCTCTTGCACACTCCCTACTGGAGATCGAGTCTACAACCGGGCATGTGCCCTGACCAGGAATCAAACCTGGTTCATAGGTCAACGCTCAACCACTGAGCCACACCAGTCAGGCCTGCTGAAGCCATTCTTATATCTTATCTCTCTTGTTCCTCTCCTTGTGCTATAGTCATCATTTTTTTCAATAGTTGCCAGTGTCTCTCAGAGGCAGTTTTATGTTACCTTACAGATCAGAACTGAGAACTCCGCAGTGATTAATTCAACAGTATGCATTAAGCACTGCAGTACTACTGCCTAACACTTGCTTCAAAGGACAGCATGTCCTGTCCAATCAATGTGAAACTGTCCTGCGTAGCCACCGCTTCCATTTAAAAGCAAAGGCTGTCATTATGCCTTACTACAGGAAAAAAAATAAACCATCTTCTAGTACAAGAACAAAACAGGACCAAAACTGCAATGGGTAGATAATTTGAGCTCTGAAACAACTGGGTTTTGGGGTGTAGGGGTTGTCTCTAAGTTTAGGCCATCCTGAAATCTACTGCAGTGAATGTGATCCATCAGAGAGGGAAACAGGTCATTTAAATGCCAAATCAAACAGTTTCTACAATTGCCAAAATATGTTGTTTTCAACACATGTTTTATACTTAAAAAGACATATTCTGAAAGGGAAAAAAAGGAAAGATGAAAAAGGAACTAACAATGGTTGAGTTCCTATACTATGCCAGGTTTGACCAAACATTTTCCATAATCATCCTTCACAACAACCCAACTGACAAAGGCGTCTCGAGCTCCAGTATTACAGAAGAGGAAATTGAGGCTTAGAAAGACAAAGTAACCTACTGATCACAAAGTTACTAACTAGGCAATCTAGACTCAAACCCAGGCCTGTATGATAACAAACCTTCAGTATTTCCATTTTACCATGGTTTGGCAAAAGCAAAAGTCACCCTCTTCCACTTTGTTTCTGAAAGCTGACTGTCAGGTACTGGGAGACTATATGATCCTATTATTCTCCTATAGGAAGTGGGTCTAGAACAGCCGTGGGCAAACTACGGCCAGCGGGCCGGATCCAGCCCGTTTGAAATGAATAAAACTAAAAAAAAAAAAAAAAAGACCGTACCCTTTTATGTAATGATGTTTACTTTGAATTTATATTAGTTCACACAAACACTCCATCCATGCTTTTGTTCCGGCCCTCCGGTCCAGTTTAAGAACCCATTGTGACCCTCGAGTCAAAAAGTTTGCCCACCCCTGGTCTAGAAGTTCTAGGTGTTTTTTATTCCAAGCTTAGTCACTGAGCTTCCTATAAATACAGGTTATTCTGTTCATAAATTTTATAATGAAAAGTCATCTTGTACATGCAAAGCCATTTGAGCAGAGGGGAGAAAATCAAAGATACCGATCATTTGCAAGTAGTCTTGAGGTGTTGAAAGTTAGTGTCGCCTGCGCAGTTGCTTGGCCTTCTAAAGTTCACCAAGCACAGAAATATTACATGACATGAATGTCACAGTGTTCACACCCAGTACTATCCTCCTTTGCATTCATCACCAGCTCTATAAAATGTAAATAATGTACCTTCAACTCTTAATGTATTCAAGAGGGAGTAGTCTATTACTGTCTTATTGTGAAGGTAAGACCACTTCCAATTACACTCATAGGCAACCCAGAAGGTTTCTGAACATTTTTATATTAAAATAAGATTTTTCTAGCACAATTAAAATGGTCTATTTATATATTAACTATAGGGGGGGTGAGTGGGGAGTGATAAACTGGGGAACTTATATTCATATATGGATACAGACAATAGAATGATGAAGGTCTGGGAAGAGTGGGTGTGAAGTGGAGGGGGTCATTGGGGAGAAAAAAAACACACACAAGGGATATCTGTAATACGTTTCAACAATAAAGAAAAGAAATTGAAAACTGTATATATTAACTATAATGGAGGAGCCCCAAGCCAAAAAACAAAAATAAAAAAAATCAAGCAAAGAAACTTTTATCAGGACTATGCCATCAGGGATTAAGTCTCTGCAGAAATACTTCTATTTCTTTTACTACTGTAAAATACTATACAGCCATTTCTCAAAAGAGGCAGCTGGATTCCAAATCTTGATCTCTTACCTTTTAGCCTCAAAAGAAACTTCACTTCAAGAAATAAACTGCCCGACTGATATGGTTGCGTGTCGACCTATGAACCAGAAGGTCATGGTTTGATTTCTGGTCAGGGCATATGCCCGGGTTGTGGGCTCGATCCCCAGTAAGGGGCATGCAGGAGGCAGAGGGCTACCAACAGAAAGAAAACACTGAGAAAAATTAGAGAGAATATTCACCTCCTTATCTGCCATTATTGTTACTTCATCCCGGGTCTCTCTGCTACCTGGAGAGACTTCTCTTTCAACATCAAAAGTTTCTGGGGAACTTAGCTGTGTCTCTGTAATTGAAAAAATATAAATCTCATTAATTTTCATTTTGTATTTTTAGTTAAAAAAACAAACATCTATTTCCCCTAAAGGGTATGATAAAACTGAGGTGAGCAAGTTGCTTGATTCTCCATAAAGCTTTACTGAGGCATAATATACATACAATAGAATTCAGCAATTTTCTGTACAGTAAAATCTCAATATAACTGGCTAATTAGGGAGAGGAGGTGTCCATTAAAGCTGAAAGTCCATTATATAATAAAGCAGGTTTTCCAAAAGCATATGTTAAAAAAATTGACAAATTAGTTTACCTGTTTATATTTATGTAGACATGTTTGTGTAATTAAAATTAAGTATGCATAAAAATTTAAGTTCATTGAAAAGTTTTCTATATGTATTAATGAAATTTTATATTTATAGGTATAGTGGGTACAGTAAATGTGTGCATTCACCAGTCACCGCAAGTAAACAAATGCACACGCCTGGGGCATGGTTTAGCGCACATCAGAACATTGGCATACATTAAAACTGTTGCAGAAAGTCACGCCATTCGACAACAGAACCAATTACCACTGGCAATGCTGTGTGATCACACCCTAATCATTTACCAAACATTGTTTACAATTGGTGACTCTTGGATTTAAATATATAGACTATAGTTGTAAATATGTAATATTTAACTATGTCAGTGAGAAGTTACTAGTGTTTTTCCCAACATATGGCCTATTTGCTATAATTTGTTAAAAAATAAAAATGAATTAACAACAAAAAAGATAACCTGTTAATTTAATTGCAAGCAAATTTTGGTTAAAAGCATTTTAAAATTAACAAGGTGTTAATTTTCACATATGACATATGGACCAGAAAATTTGTCCATTAAATCTGAAGTCTGTTAAATCAAGGTCCAAAAAATGGTTTACTGTATATAATTTGATGAGTTTTGACAAATATATACAATTTATACATATACCAGTTATACCATGTAATTACTACCACAATCAAGAGATATAAAACCTGCTCTGGCCCGGCCAGCGTGGCCCAGTGGTTGAGCACTGACCTGTGAACCAGGAGGTCACAGTTTGATTCTCAGTCAGGACACATGCCAGGGTTTCAGGCTCAATCCCCAGTGTGGGGCCTGTGGGAGGAATCCAATCAATGATTCTCTCTCATCATTGAAGTTTCTGTCTCTCTCTCCCTCTCCCTTTCTCTATGAAATCAATAAAAATATATATTTAAATAAAAAAAATAAAACCTGCCCTGGATGTTTTTGCTCAATGGTTAGAGCATCCGTCCAGTACAGAAGGGTCTCAGGTTCGATTCCTGGTCAAGGCATGTACCTCGGTTGCAGGTTCAATTCCTGACCCCCATTTGGGAGGCAACCAATCAATGTGTCCCTCTTACATCCATGGTTTTCTCTCTTTCTCTCTCTCCCCCCCTCCACTCTCTCTAAAAAAATAAATGGAAAAAATGTCCTTGGGAGAGGATTAAAATATATATTAAAAAATCTTTCTAACACCCCAAAAAGTTCTCCCTTACTAGCACCCCAAAAGTGTACCCCTTTGTACTCAATCCCCTCCTACTTGGCTCCTTGCAATGACCAGTCTACTTTGTGTTGCTATAGTTTTGCTTCTTCTAGAATGTTATACAGTGTGTTGTCTTTGTGTCTGACCTCTTTTATTTAGTATAGTATTCTACTGTATGGATATTTCAGTTTGTTTATCCATTCATCAATTAATCCACTTGTCTTCTTTTCAGCATACTTTGCTTTTAAAGTATATTTATTTTGACAGAAAACAAAAACCTGCCAATATAAGTTCTGAAGTAAAAGGAATTATTAGAGATGACAAAAATTAGGGAACAGAAATAGAAAATACATTCTCAAGAAAGATATGCCTTTCTTTTTTTCTTTTTTCTTTATTTTTTCAATTTCAATTGACATACAATATTATATGTTTCAGATGTACCCCCCAGTGATTAGACATTAAAAAACCATCCAGAAAAATCTCATGCCCACCTAACACCATACATAGTTAATAGACTATTATTTACTAGGTGTATCAGTTAATAATGAGGATTTTTTTCAATAGGTGGAGTTACACATATGTTGACATATATGCAATTTGATATGTATGCTATTTTGTTGTATTGACAACTAGCTTCAAAACTTCATATGTTATTTGCCAGTCTGCTCGATGCTTCTCTGCCTCTGTATCTATTTTTGTTCATCAGTTTATAATGTTCTTTATTATCCATAAATGAGTGACAGTGGGAAGGCTGGGGAGGGTTGGGGGCAGAGGGAGGTAAGAGATCAACCGAAGGACTTGTACATGCATATAAGCATAACCAATGGACGCAAGACACTGGGAGTGGGGTGAGGGTATGTGCCCGGGGGGTAGTGGAGGCTGGGGGAAGGTCAACTGGGGAAAAAAAGGAGACATATGTACTACTATTTGTAATACTTTAAAAAATAAAAAGAATAAAATAAACTTCATATGTCAAATTTTCTGAAGGTGTTAACATCATAGATATTTTTACACTTAAAAATATCTAATTTCGTGCCAAAAAAGGAGCATTTGTGGGAAGTTTTAATTCATTACTTTATTTTGAAGAAAAGTGCTGCTGAATACTTCGGGAACCTTATAGTGAACATGCTCCATCTCAAGATACTTGTGAACACTGGTTTAAACGCTTTAAAAGTGATAATTTCGATGTGAAAGACAAAGAACGTCCAGGTCAACTGAAAAAGTTTGAAGACCAACAATTATAAGCATTATTGGATGAAGATGTGTATCAAACTCAAAAACAACTTGCAGAAAGATTAAACATTGCTCAGCAAACAATTTCCGATCGTTTACAAGCAATGGGAAAGATTTTAAAGGAAGAAGAGTGGGTGCCACATCAACTGAATGAAAGACAAATGGAAAACCAAAAAGTCATCAGTAAAATGTTGCTTCAATGACATAAAAGAAAGTCTTTTTTGCATCGAATTGTGACTGGCGATGAAAAGTGGATTTATTTTGAGAATCCCAAATGCACAAAATCATGGGTTGATCCAGGTCAACCATCAACATCGACTGCAAGGCCAAATCACTTCGGAAAGAAGACAATGCTCTGCGTTTGGTGGGATCAGGAAGGTGTGGTGTATTATGAGCTTCTAAAACCAGGTGAAACTATTCATACTGATCGCTACCGACAACAAATATATCAATTTGAACCATGCTTTGATTGTAAAACAACCACAATGGGCCAGAGGACACGGCAAAGTAATTTTGCTTCATGATAACGCACCATCACACACTTCAAAACCAGTTAAAGACACGTTAAAAGATCTTGCCTGGGAAGTATTAACCCACCCTCTATATTCACCAGACATTGCTCTTTCAGATTACCACTTATTCCAATCAATGGCACATGCACTTTCTGAGCAGCACTTCAAAACATACAAAGTAGTAGAAAACTGGGTCTCTGAATGGTTTCCTCAAAACAAGAAAAGTTCTATTGACACGGTATTCACAAATTACTGGAAAGATGGGATAAATGTGTAGCTAGCTATGGACATTACTGTGAATAAAGCACTTCTGATGTTTCTCTTGAAACTATCGTGTTTTCTTTAATTACAAAATCCGCATTATTAACCAGTACACCTAGTACTATATTTCCTATGTTGTACTTTACAGTACATGCCCATGACTACACTATAACTACTAATTTGTACTTCTAAATCCCTTCACCTTTTTCACCCATCCCCATAGCCCCTCTTCCATCTGGCAACCATCAAAATGTTCTCTGTATGTATGAGTCTGTTTCTGTTCTTCTTGTTTAATTACTTTGTTTATTAGATTCAATTGTTGATAGACATGTATTCATTGCCATTTTATTGTTCATATTTTTAATCTTTTTTTCTTCTTCTTCTTCTTCTTAAAGAAAACTCTTTAACATTTCATGTAATACTGGTTTGGTGATGATGAAATCCTTTAGCTTTTTCTTGTCTGGGAAGCTCTTTATCTGACCTTCAATTCTAAATGATAGCTTTGCTGGGTAAGGTAATATTGGTTGTAAGTCCATGCTATTCATCACTTTTGAGTATTTCTTGCCACTCCCTTCTGGCTTGCAGTTTCTGTTGAGAAATCAACTGACAGTCATATGGGCACTCCCTTGTAGATAACTTTTTTTCCCTCTTTCTCCTTTTAAGATTCTTTGTCTTTAACCTTGGGCATTTTAATTAGGATGTCTTGGTGTGGGCCTCTTTGGGTTCATTTTGTTTGGACCACTCTGTGCTTCCGGACTTGCATGTCTATTTCTTTCACCAGGTAAGAGAAGTTTTCTGTCATTTTTTTTCAAATATGTTTTCAATTTCTTGCTCCCTCTCTTCTTCTGGCACTCCATGATGCAAATGTTGGTACACTTGAAATTTTCCCAGAGGTTCCTTATACTATCTTCATATTTTTGGATCCTTTTTTCTTTTTGCTCTTCTGACTGGGTGTTTTTTGCTTCCTTATAGTCCAAATTCTTTATTTTATGCTTCGCTTCATCTACTCTACTGTTGTTCCCCTGTAAATTATTATTTCAGTCAGTATATGCTTAATTTTTTTTCTTCTAATCTTTATTATTGATATTACATAGGTCCTCCTTTTCCCCCCATTAACCTCTTCCAGCCCACTCCCATCCTCCCCGGCCCCCCGCAGGCCCTCAACACCCCATTGTCTATATCCAGGGGATATGCATATATGCATACAAGTTCATTGGTTGATCTCTTCCCACCCACCCTCCCCTGACTTCCCTCTGAGGTTCAACAGTCTGTTCATCCTTCTATGACTCTGGGTCTATTTTTGATCATCAGTTTATTTGGTTCATTAGATTCCACATATGAGTGAGATCATGTGATACTTATCTTTCTCTGACTGGCTTATTTCGCTCAGCATAATACTCTCCAGATCCATCCATGCTGTTGTAAATGGTAAGAGTTCTTTCTCTTTTACTGCCATATAGTATTCCATTATGTAAATGTACC